ATCAAAACTAATTGATTGAGTTGATTGATTTTACAATCGATTATAGAATTTTAATCGATTTTAATCGGATTCTTCTAGAAAAAATAGAAGTTTTGTTTGAAAAATCGGATTTGTCCGTCGCTAATCAAAAATAATCTGGATTTTCTTCGGAATATTTTTCACTGGGAGATGTAAGTTATATCTTATGTCGGTTACCAAAAAATGAAATTAATATATTAATTCACAAAATTAAAAGTTTCTCTTGGACTATCAATGTTATATCGAATTTTTTCTTCATATCAAACAGAATATTCTCATTTATTTACAAATGCCCTGATATTTTTATTACCACGACTTGTTAATTAGTTTTCTCTTATCAAATTCATTGTTCTTAATGAAGATTCTTATTTTGATAATATCGAGTTAAGTGATAAATAAGTCTCTTCTACGGTTTCATGATATCTAAAGCAGATTATATGCGCTATAATATATATTGATTTATTCACAAGCTATGATAGTTAATACTTCTGAAAATTACAATTTTGTCGTTGTTTACAAAAATAGAGTATAGGTGATGCCCGTTATTCTTGATTATTATGGTTTGTAATACGGAGATGTCTATAGTAGAAGTGTGTTTGTTATCGGGTAGCCATGAAAGTGCAACCGAAGAGCTTCCAACTAAAAGTTAAACGAATTAGTGTTTTCGAAAATATAAGTGAATTCTCAAAAACCATGACAACCGAATGTGGATATGAATGTATGTAACTATGAGGTAATGGATGTAGATGAAACGTGCCATGTGGAGTATAGATGTACGAATTTTTAGAAATTAGTCAATTGGAATTTTCATTCTCTCCAAGTTTCGTTGTTATTTCTAAATTTTATGAAATTACTATAGAATGATTCAGGCACATTTCAATTAAAGCGATATTGATTTTGGGATTGGTTGCTAAAAGTGTATATCAGCTACAGTGAACATCTTATTTTCTTTTTCCATCCGTACTGTCACATTGTAGTACTTGGTCGCCTTATATAGATATTATCCTACTTATTATTCTTTTTCGACCTTCTTGTCTCTTAATTGTTCGATATTTTATTTTTGGATTAAGAGAAGAACATACTGTCTTCTCCTTTTTTATACTTTTCCCATGATTTGATAAAGGACAAGAAAATTATCAACCCCTTCTCTTGATGTTTCTTTTATTCATCTTTTGTAATTACATCTCTTAATTTTATAAAACTCACGTACATTTCGGAAAAAAATAGTTAGTGTAAGTTTTAAAATCAAGCTTCTACCAATCTCTCGTCCCAACTCAGACAAGTCTCCATATTTATTTAGTAGCAAAACAAATGAGTTATACAGTAGGAATATTATTAATTTTATTTCTATAAAATATTTCAATGCTTTTGTAGTTATTTGAAAAATATACGATTCTAATGAAAGTTTTATCAGAAAAAAATGACGACGAAGATGAAAAAAATACTACTTTTCACCTCGAAATGTACGCTTTCATTTATGGGTGTGTGAATGTAGGTGTGGGCGTGTGTGGGCTGATGTTCTTTTTATGCAGAAGCACACCCACCCACATCCACACCCACACCAACACCCAACATTCAACAATTTACGAATTCTATTTTGGATAAATTTTTTTTTTAAATTTTATAACAATAAAAAATTTTTAGCTGATGATTTCTACAGTAGTTCTCTATGTTAAATCAATGGAAATTTTTCTATTGATATACAAGTTTTCACTTAAATCAAACGTAATAACAAAATATGTTTTTTTTTTTCGTCTATAGATTATTCTTGATTAAAAGGTTTCTTTCTTATTTCAATAATTTATAGATCTAAAGCTAATAACATGGACAATCTATTAAATTCGTCTCACAAAATACAATAAAAAAAGAATAAGTTTACGAAAATGTCGCCATTTTATTTCAAGTCACTATTTGAATATTTATAGAAATATGAATCTTTATTTTCAGTGAAATTCTAATTGTCATGTGAATACAACTTGACAAGATCAAATTTAATCATCTGTTCAAATAACATCTCAGCTCCTGAGAAATTATCAGTTAAATTAAAAATCTGTAGATATGTTCAAATAATATGTTTATTTAGCACATCTGTTACATTTAAGCAAATTATACTTCTTAATATTATGGTTTAAAGCATAAATTCTGACAAATTGCTTATATGAAAATCTCTAAAATATAAATAATCTAAAAAATTTGAAATTATGAAATATAATACATTATTGTTATAAAAAATGACATTAAGGAAAAAAACAAATCGTTTCACATGCACATAAAAAACAACAACGAGACGTTTTAATGCAGATTTTTTTCTCCATATAAATAGAATGACGATAAAAATACAATTTGAATTTTTATAAAATGAAATAGGGTGTGGGTGTGGGTGTGGGGTGTGGGGTGTGGGTGTGGGTGTGGATGTGGGTGTGCGTGTGTGGAAGAGCACTGCCATTACATGTGCCCACACGCACACCCACACCCACTCATATCCACCCACACCCACCCACATCCATCCACATCCACCCACCCACACCCACACCCAATTCTTCTGCTTCTATATGCCTTATAAATAAAACATTGCGTTAAACAAATGTAAAAATGATCGAGTCAAAGTAGGCTTCTCTCTATCTCGCATAACAAGGAGAGAAACAGCGAATAAAATAAATGAGAAAAAGTAAATTGAACTCTTTTATTCAGTTTCTAATCATAAAATCCGTAATCAACTTTAGAATAATTGAATGAAGAGAGAGGAATCCATGCAATACAAATCGTTCAGATATTTCTAGGAGAGTGACGTGTAATATACGCGATAGTTCTATGAATTAAACGCAACGGAGAATATGTTGTCTTATTCTTTGCTAATCAAAAGTTCTAGAGGAAGTATCTTCATAAATAAGGGAGAAAGAAGAAAGGAATGTACACAATGTTTCTTGAATTCTTTCAAAGAGAAGGTTCAAACAAAGAACTTGATTTATCTGAAAAAACGAAGGGAACTCACTTTCCAAACAAACCCAATAATAGTGAAATGGTAGTTGCAGAGAATCAATAAAAGAAGTTAAATGTTGATGATTTTTTCCTATGCCTTGGATGTTTAAACGCTCAGGATGATCAAAATTTTCAGCCTTTAACATGTTTCTGGTAACTCATCGAACAATTTTAGCGATTTCAATGTCTTGATGATAACTCCTGGTAATAATTAACAAGTTTTTCATTTAAAGGATGGTGGAATAAAATGCAGAGTGCGGCAAAAGTGAATTCCAAATTTTTTTTCACGTGACATCATCCACTGGTTCTCCTTACACAATATAGGATAACTTTAAGTTTTTATTTTCCTAGCTCAAATCTAGAAGTTCTCTATAAAGGGATTGATGTCAGACAGATACCAAAATTCAGAATGTTTTTTTCTGTTTCATTAATAGCATTTTACATGAACGCTTTTTTAAATTACATTGATTCTCAACACTATTATGATCTTTAAACTATTCAGACCAAAAACAGTCATTTCACTAATACTAGTGGTGATGTTTCCTCAAAAATAAGAAGTCGAACGATGACAAGTAAAACAGTCAAAAGACTGCGAAATATAATTATGAGAATAGCAGGAAGGCTAGGTGTGAGTACCTGTTATCTCTTCATCCACATTCATATTAAAGAACTGATTCAGGTATGTTTTTAGAGATCACAGGATCTTTTATGAAGTTCTATTTCATACTATATATTCTTTGTCAATAGTTGAAGAAAGTTTTATTTGATTATTTGTAAAACAAGCATACAATTTATCCATTATCTTATTCGTTGCAGTTTCGGTTGCACCTGCGATCGAACACCTAGTAAGTAAGATCTTGGAAATTTAGGTACAATATAATTACATTCTGGGATCGAATTTGACCTATAATGTCTATATTTTAATGGCTTTACCTATTTTATGATACTAGTCTTTTTTTTAATTCAGGCTATAATTAGAACTTAAAATAGTCGTAAAGAAATTCATTGATTTTGTTTCATAGTGTAATATATAATATAAGATTTCAATTCAAAAACAAATATATCTACATGGAATTCGTAGAAAATTACAAAACAAAGCATCTAACATGAGAAACTAAGTTTTAGGAGAGAGTTTCTCAGAACTTGAAATAATCACATAGACTGTTCGAGCAGAAATATTCAAAATTCTTATAGTTATTCAAAGTTTCTTTCGCTCATCTGTATGCTGATTCTGATCAGAAATACATAGAGAATTCACTGATTTTTGCAGTCATTTTTTTAAATATTTTATGTAGACACCGATTTTCAGTTTGAAATTGCTCATACACATCTGATCCAGATTCATCATATATGTCATTCATATAAAAAAAACTCCGATATGACATTGTATAAAACCTAATTTTCTTGAATATAAAATGATTAATTAAAATAGAAATAGAATATAAAAAAAAACGATTCAAATTGAGTCAAGTCTTAATTGAAACTGGATTTATTTCATTTTATCTTCTTCATCCTCTTCATATATCTTACGAAATGCTCGTAAGAGTTCTCGTTTTAATTTTTCATTTTGGCATCTTGTTTGAATGTCTATTTTCAATGCTTGATATCCAACTGTATTTGAAGCATATGTATCATCACTCAAAACATCTGTATTAAATCGTGACCATGTCAAACCATGATTAATTGCACCTTGCAAGAAACATGCCACTTCCGGTATATCTCCTGGATCTAAAACAAAGATTGTCTTAAAGAATTAAGTTTTAATCATGATCATACTTTTCGAAAGACATAATTTATTGCATAAAGGTGTGTTATCTTCATCTCGAAGTTCAAATTGAAAACCATGACCAATGACTATATCAGCTTCAGAAACTAAGACTTGTTGTGCTGGATCTTGTAATTGATAATATGATCCTTTAATATATAAACGTACTTTACAATCTTTTGCCACATTTTCTAAAGGCTTCACACGATCATGAAAATTTTCATGAAGTAATAATTTATCTCCTAGTATATATTTGCTTGAGCCATATACTTTAATTTGACATTTTGGTCTGGCTATTTAAAAAAAATTAGGAAACCTAAAATTTAAAAGAATAAACTTACAACTGAAAAGAAATCCTTCCGTGAATGTTATGCAAAGAAGCAGAAAGACGAGAATACAGTCTTGCATTTTTTCTGTGATTTGATGTATTTAACTATGGAATATATACTCGGTTATAAAATATTTTTTTATAATGATTACAGTCCAAAGATGATGAATAACCGCGATAACATTATATATCCCCAAACAACTGAATCTACGTCTCTTTTTTATTGGTCCCACTTGTATGTCATCTATTTTTTATTCTTCACAGATCCATAAGTCGGACACCACAGTATTCGTTTGTGGTATATTACTCACGAGAAAAAAAAATAATAAGTATTATATGATGGTTAGACAGGAAGAGAAACTAAAAGAATAGAAAAAATATTGGCATTTTACGCTCGTTTCGAAATGTAATGTTTGCGATCAAATTAGTGTACATATTTAATCAGCTCACACATTGACATCTTACTTATCAGTAACATTAGATCAATTTCATAAAACTGAAAGCAACAAAAAAAAGATTTAGACACATTTTTGTTAGAATTATAAATTCAGCAACAATAAAAGCAAAAGATAGTTTCTCTATGTCCTCTTGTTAATTCAACCTATGTTTTCAATAATAGATCTCATCTGAACACTTTCTTATAATTGAGTGTAACTGTGTTTTTACTACTAATATTGTTGTAATAGTTGAATTGACTAGCAGAAAAAAGAACATATGTCATACATCTGTTCTTTTCTTTAAATATGATGCAGTCTCTGTAAACTAGAATATTGCCCATTTATAAACGCGAAGAATGTCACAGTAAATTATATTCTATTTATAATCATGCATTTGACATATATGATTCGGATGACCTGATAATATTCACAAGTAATATATGAAAATGAACAATACATACAATAAAAAGCTTGCGATAACTGTCGTTCTACATGTACTGATAATAAAAATAATGCTCTATTTTTCTGTGATATCTAATCATACTTTAACTAATACTATGATAGGAGAACTTTGACAAAGAACTGTTTGTTATGAGCAAGATAGAGAACTACGAATTGCACCGTTAAGAAGAGGGAATGAAAATGCATCGATAGAATACCTATAACTGCTGAATGATAGCATATAAATCGCTAATATTTCCGAATTTTGGTAGGTCTTCGATTCGCATCTGAATGCATACCTGAGAAGTGAAAACTCACTGCGAGCAGTCTACAGGCATACGCTTATTGTCAAAAAATTCGTTGGGCAAACTTAAAAAGCGATCAGGAAGTCCTGTAATACACGATTTGATGCATCTTTATCTCCTCTTTTTAACGACGAAAACCAGTTCTTTATCTAGCTTTTAGCAAAAGTTTATTAGAAAATATCCAGCCACTTTTTTCTTGTTAGTGTTATCGTTACATATCATAACAAACAGTTCTTTGTCAAAACTTTTACTATTATGATATTAATTAAAGTATGATGAAATATTACAGAAACTTAAAGGATTATTTTTATTATCAGTACACATAGAAAAAAAGTTTTCTCAAAGTTTTCATACAGAGTCAAACAACATCCGTCACTATTTTTAGTATGATTGAAGTAGGTTTCGAACCTATTCGATATTACTAATACTTTCTGGTCTCGAATGCAAATGTGATAATTTTATATCACTTGCTGTCTCGTGTGAAAAGTCAGAAAATATGTTTTCCATCCACTACATGGTGAAGATCAAGCTAGCCAATTTTATAATGTAGATAATATTGAGAAAATGCAGATTTATTCGTCACTAAAAAGAAATTGAAGTTCTTGTACTGCTCATATCGATAGCTGCTATATTTGAAAAAAAAGACGACTAAAGTGATGAGAAGACCCACATGCAATACAGTTTCATTGTTTCGACCTGATTTTCTTTCCAAGTTTGACACATAGCGCCAAACAATGCATCAATAGGTCGGCTACTCTTCAGGCACAAACAAAGAAAAATTTGAAGAAATGTGTCAACAGGAGCGAAATCCTCATATGCCTGAACTGAACCGATCACGCCTTCGAGTTATTCAATGGAGTTAAGAACAAAGCCTAATACAGACGGCAATACTTCGAAATCTTCTATAGTCGAATGTAAGCCTAAGCATGCTCGGCACTAATATCAACCTTTTGGGGTGTGGATGTGGATCTTTTCTATCCTAACACTCACAACCACAGCCACTTTTGGAATGCCTTGTATACACATTTATTTGTCAAGAATGAAAATAAACGAGTCTCGAAAAGCACTAGTGAAAGAGAAGAGAATGGTTCTTAAGCTACATGATGAGAATGTGCACAGGAAGGCGGTTAAAATGAATCAGTGTGAATGAAGTTACAAGACACAATGCAAATATACAATGGGAAACTGTGAATCAAGTTATGTGGGGCGTCCCAATTACTACTAGATATTCATAGAACGTTGCTGTTGTTCAGAATCGGCTTATTCCGGATCAAACAGATATTTCTTGATGACGAATACCATGGTCGGTTGCTGATCTATCGTGGTAGTTGCCTTCTTCTGGTGAACTACCTATCCTAGTTTCGTCGTCGGATTCTTCAACGTCACTTGATGGCTCTGTCGGAGGAACTGCTGGTACATCTAAAGAAACGCATCAAAACTGCATCAAAGGATTTACAAATTGTTGAAAATATGAGTTGTTTTCAGATCCGGGAGTACACCTCTTCATCAGATCTTGACTTTCTAACGATAGATTCTTCAATACTCGAAAACTTTTGTTTTCATTCTGCAAAGCTTCGATAACCTTCATCTTTTACTCTTGTTCGATATGAATTAAAACGATGGAGAGTCTAATTCTACTTGCCCTATTCACTTGTTCTGATCGACAGAATCTTGGATTGTTTTCTTGGAAATAAATAGATCATAACAAGAACTTTCTGTCTATTCCGAGAGAATTTTTGAAGAGAAAATATCTCTTCTACTCTTACGAATATTGAAATAGTTCGTTCATTTCAGGATTTTGACAGAAGTTAAGTAATCGTTCGTAAGCGAATGACCAAAAGTTTAGACTTTCTAATAAGAAGTTTTCCGACTCATTCGAAATTTATGAGAAGAGATCATTCGATATGCATTAATTAACGAGACTGACGTATTTTAACGGATTGTGGATTAGATAAAGTATTCACAGTTCATTCCACCAGGGTGCAATTCAACATAATCAATCGGTTTTAGGCTAGAATAGTCTACGAAACAAGTTAGTATCGAGCTCATGACTGATCATCAAATCTCATTCGAAACCTTCAGTTCAAACTTTCAATAGGAAAAGCAGGCTAAGAATACTTTTTCGATAATCTAGTAACAGTTTTTCTTTAAGATCTTAATTGTGCAGGTAAACTCGATTTTCGTTTCTTCAACTCTAAATAGACCTTCTTGACTAATGTATAGAAAATCCAAAAAATGCTCTAGATTCTTTTTTAGAATAGAACAAAATGAATACTCACTAGTGACACTAAGGAAAGAAGCTCTAGGAAGTGCTTTAAATCGAGCTTACGTGGCTGTTCACGTTGCAAGGGATATGCTTCCCCGTACACGAAATGCCAGTACGCCATATTTGCATGATCTAAATTAGAACATAGAGATACATAGTTTTCCTTAAGAAGCGCTGCTGTCAAATTCCGATTTCGCTGAAATTCGCTTCTCTCTCGACACAGTCCGAGCTGTTCTCTATTTTTTCTTGTCAATCTGACATTCTCTTAGAAAATAAATCATAATCACAAAGATACCTCTCTAGAGGCGTTACATAAGCAATTCTTGCAGTTTTCTAGAAAGTTTTCTAGGGGCTTGTCTGGAGTACCATCTAGGAAGTTTTCAAGAGAATTCTTCAGAGAGTTGCCTAGAGAACCGTCTAGTGAACACTTTTGTATACTGTTATCCAAAGAATTATCAGCACACTAGTTGATGGAGTTCTCTAGAGAACGATCTAAATAGCTTTTTAGATAGCTATCTAGAGAGGGTGTAGGGATGTGGATGTGGCGTGCGAGTGTTGGTATCGGTATTGGTGCAGATGGATGTGAAATGTGACTGTTATGCTAACCCACACCCAGACACATACAACATCTACATCCACAGCCACACCCCACATCCCATACCCACACCTAAACGCACACATTCGCACTCTTTTCAATGCTTTCCGCTATTAGTACACTGATCAAAACAACTTCACCATTTGTCAATTCTTCGACTCTCATGCTTAATATGCCTTCAATATTCTTGATCAAATGATGAAAACTCGACTATATGAATCATATCAAGGATAAAATGCATTCAAAAAGAACTATAGCATCTCATTTGCTAAAGAACACGTCGAATAGAAGTCTTACCGCATTTTCTGAATGGTTCTATAAAAAGATAGGAATCAATGCGATTTATGGATACTATATTGATTGCGAGTCCTATGATTAGACGAATAATTGAAGATACAATACCTATAAAACAGTCTAAAATAGAAAGTACAATTTGTGTATTTCTTCTACTTCTAATATCTGTAGGAAGAAATGTCTTACTAGCAACTAACATAAAGTATTGTAGAATATTCGTTAGATTGTGTCTATATTTAGACCAACATTGACAACAACGGGCAGGAATATCCCGAGTGGGGGATCTCTCAGCATTGTTGGCAATTTGACCATCTGTCTGATTATGAGTGACGATCAATTTACTAATCCATTGCACAATAAACGATTGCAATACATACAAAATTAATATAGATAAAATGAATTCTAATATCCATTTAAAAGCATAATAATAATACCAAATTAGACGAAATATAAAAGCAACGAAGATTAATAAATGAAAAGTGATGACAAAACCTCCCATTGTATACCGAATAAGATAGCCTGGATATCCTATAGCTTTGAAAGGAGCTTCGTCTATTTTTATTCCTTGTTCCGGTACTAACATGTGTCGTCCTTTTACACGATATTCTTCGATATGTTTCCTAAGATTCTTCATGCCAAAGAAAAGTTGAATACCATAAATGAGTGCTGTCATAATAGCACTGACAATAATTTCCGTGTGAAATAACCTATCTTTGATCTCTAGAAAAGAAAAGAAAAGAAAAGAAAATAATAAAGTCATTCAAATGAAAAGAGATCAACTGACCAACATTGAATATGTATTTAAAACTCTTTGTTAAAAATGATATTGGACTCATCATTCCTGTTGTATAGAGAAAGCTGAATGTGCATGTTAAATGGAATAGAATGATAAAATTGACTGTATACGTAGATATACTGATAGTGCTGAAGAAAAAATTTTCATCCCATCGATAAATGTGATCGAGGCATTTTTGAAAAAATGATCGATTATCAGTTGGACTGGCATCTGATGGTTGTGTTTCCTGGCATGGGTTTTGAAAATCTTCGGTTTCTATCAATAAAAAGCAAACTTCATCAGGTTGAGTCAATTGAGAAAATGTCATTACTAACCATTGTCCTGTTGATATCCACAGCATGAATTAAACACAAGACGCACGCCGAATTCTCCACCAATGTACGAAAGTAAAGCGAAATGTGGCGTATTCGCAATCAATCCATAGATAATAAACCGAGTGCTAAGTTGCTAAAAAATAAGACTTTCTTTGACTAACTTCGTTGGATAACAATGATCTAAACCTACGATGCGAAGATGAACTTTATCCCGTACTGAAAAATTCTCCGAATGAGGCATAAAATCAAGACAGAAACTTTCCCGATAGATTGTATATACTATTACGCCAATTACATAAGTGAAAGCAAGAAATCGAATAAAAGCATTTTGTAAACGTAAAGAAATCAGTGTTGGATAGTATCGAGATCTAAAACGATACAATTTGTAAAAAAATGTCTAAATCAGGAAAAGATTGCTTACCCAATTACAATGACAACGACTATTCGTTTGCCAAATTTGATGAGTACACCGTCAGTCGATGCCCCGCTTATAGCAAATAAAATTTCGTCGAAAACTTTTAATATTTCAAAAGTAATAATACCAAAAATTGCAGCTGTCTCATATCGATTAATTTTCTGATGAAGGTCGATAAATGACAGAAGTCCTAGAATAAATTGAGTAATCATTTTATTAGAAAATCAATTTCATATGTGAAGATAATCGAATATCATATAGAAATTTTAACTCACCGACCGGAGATGCTGAGGGGGATAGAGCAACGTCAACAGGTGCCTGAGCCATTGCACCAGATGTCTGATCTGCCCCAATAGATGACGGACGCTGCACCAGGGGTATGGTTTCTGAGTTTTGAGAATCCCTATTGAGTTGTTGGAGGGGGTTCGAGGTCGACCGCTGGTTGGTTTTAGAGAAACTGTGCTTCTTCGGTTGCGAATTCCTGGTTCTGAGTCTAGATGAAGAATGGTCTTCCGTTGAATTTCGTTTCAATAAAATTGCCAATAAAAGGAAGATGATGGTGAAAACAAATGAAGTGCCAAAGAAAATGCGATCGTCCATCGGAAAAAAAGATTTGCGTTCGCATGTTTGTAGCATCAGTGACGCCTCATCAATCACTGATTGGAATTTCAATGGATCAATATTTCGAAATGGAAATGTACGAATTTGAACAACGGCCGGAATCACAAGCAGTAGACAGAAAAAAACCAAACCGCAGGTGCCAACCAAAACTAAACGAATAGAACTTTGTCGTCCTAATGTCCTAGAAGAAAACGAATTCGGTGAAAAAGTCAAATTGACTTCGAAAGATCAGTCGCTAGCATGCATACAAAATCAAATTAATTTGATTCTCTGTTCTGTAACATTTTTACAATTCACTTGTTCAAATTTTACCCATTTCGTGCAATGATATCTGATACCGACGTAATAGCATTCAATCCCTTAGTTCAATGAGTTCTTAGAATATTATAAGTAGAAATGAACAGCCACTCTCAACTTTAACACTAATCATTTGAAAGAAGAGAAGACGAACAATTGAGAGTCAGACTAATGTGCGCTCACTACAAGCTGAGAGAGGACCAATACTGACTCGATATTGGTTTGTAAGTTAGTTCTCGTCAACTATCTAGCGTTTCTTCATGAAATACGTTCTAATTCAGCCTTTCTCGTCGCAAAATTGATTATAAGAGTAAGATTCGGTGGAATCATCGCAAGTTTTGAAATACTCAACTTCACCAGTGATTTTCATATGAGACATTGCTATGAATCATTGCCTAATCGTATTCCATACAATCAGAAGGAAAAAAATGAGAATTTTCCGTTCGTTCAGCAAGTTTTCAACAACTCGACGTGGGTTCAGGACTTTTTCTTCACTGATTGACTTGATCCATTCTCTAATCTGTCTGGATCTAAACAAACAGATATCAACTTACTCTTTCAACGCTTCCCAGCAGCTTCTATCGTCCGAGATAGTGTTTTGTTCATTTTGTCTGTCATTTGATGTGGTTTCTTCTCTATTACTACATCTAAATAAAGCAGAAAAATCAGGACCGTAAGAACAAGATGAAAACTTACTGAATAATCCATTGATTTATAGATCGTCGAACAGTACAAACTTTGCCGATTAATAAGAATGATCCAAGAACAGCAATAATAATCATAGCGATTATCATTTGTAATATCTGGTGTGAAACTACAAATCGATAGAAAGACCAACTTTATGATTTCAAAGGCTAACAATTCATCTTACATTTTTCGCAGAGAACACCATCGAAGAAAAATGAACACGAACATTTGAAACTTTCGAGACTATTAACACATTGACCATGTTTGCCACACATGACATTACCAAAACAGAAGTCAAGTACTAGAATTGAGAAGTAAATAGGGAAAATTCTCTGCTATTTCATTATGCAACAGAAACTACAAACCATATTGACATACATGTTCATATGTTGAATTTAGATCAATGTCGCTCAATGAACAAATCAATTTGTCCCAGATCTTGTAAGTAGTAAATGTAAAGATATGTGAATCATTGTTGAATACATTCCATGCAAACTGATCACAAAAACCACGAATATTATCGAATCGTTCAAAGACATTATTATCTTCATCGGATGAATAAATATGATCGTTTTCATCACGATCATTCGTCTCATCTCCATTAGTGAAATTGGAAGATTTTGTGTTTGGTTCGAACTCGAGTTGTGCTTGATACAATTTATCTTCGATTATTCGCCAGTCGGCTCGATCATTCGCCGGGACCATATCCATAAACATTTTACCTAGAGTTAGTCGAGATAGAAAAATAGTCATGGTCAAGTTTTTTATTTATGCATCGGAGAAAATGTAAAGTACTCTATTATTACTTTTGAATAGTTGTGGATCAGTTTCAACTAATAATGTTGTTAGATTTTGTGTAAAGAATACATGAGCAGCATAGGACAGTTCAACAGTATGCCGAATGCGCATCACGTGTGTATCATTCACATGAAGAAGACTACATGTTTGATTGGCTTTAGCAGGTGTTGATTTCATAATCGAAGGATGATAGCATGAACCACCAAATTGTTTCCATCCTTTCAGACATCGAAATCGACCGACTACAATACATAAATGTCATTGAACATCATTTTCAATAAGCAAAAACAAGTATCTTCTATAATTTGCATAAATTCATGCGTTAAGTTTTTTTCTGCTCATACATCAACCTACCAATAAGGAATCAAATAAGCTGTAACTAGTTAATAAGTTGGCCAAGATATTCCACGCTTTAGATTAGAGGATATTTTCCAAAAATGTTGCGGTTATTTCTGTTTCCGAGAGTTCATTTGTCTCGCATATAAAGAGAAAACAGTGAGAGAAAACAATTTTTCACATGAATTAGTCAATATCGTGATGAGAGATTCAAAATATCCCAGATAGAACAATCTGGTACTGGAACGGGCCGTATATGACACAGTTACGGCGATTTTCGACCTGAAAACAGTGATCGAATACGGATCACCGTATTATGGCGTAGCACAGTGCCGTTTGCGGTCATCTTTTATGATACTATGTAAATGGACTGCATGTGATCACTGTATCCAAACCGTAATTATACCTTGAGAGAAAACTATCGTACCCGATCACCGTACAGATACTGTATTTATATCGTATTAGTAAGGTGATTTTATCTCAAACTAAGACATTCTTTCGCAGTATGCATGCGATAGTTTTCATAGTGGCGTGTATGATAGTGTCAGTTTTTCGGCTAATGTGGAACTCACAGCAAAGTATTTTACTTGTTTTATACCTCATTTAATAGCTTTTCTTAAGCTCTACACGACCTACTCAAGTTTTAAGGTGCTTAACGTTATTGCTGATGTTCACTGATAGTAGTTCATGATCGCTCTCCATACTATTTTTGTTTTAGTTAAGCACTCATCCTTAAACGGGAAATCTATTACCATTGTGTACCGCAGAAATGTTGTCGAATTTTCTGAATTTTTCCACATTCTTCAGAAATGATCCGTTGCTTTTGGCAGTATGAGTTTATGATGCCCAATTATGCTGATATGCAATGTACCATACATTGCGCATCGAATATACAGCACAGTGAAAGATTCATGTAAGTGAATTACAATATTACGACATCTTTTGGCATGGGAATAAAGTAGTGCATAGCGATAGTAGTTCACTCGCGCAGAAACATTAATAACCACCGTAAAGAATATCCAAGACAAAATATCAGATAGTTGTTTACAGCGCTGATAAGATATAAAAACTGTAAAATTTCAGCATTGCAGACGCTGTATACGAAACGACGTAAATGTTGTCGTCAATCGTCGACCATATTTACGACAAAATACAGCATATACACTGCTCGTATTTGATCGTATACAGGATATGAAAACTCGATTCTTCTTACATTCGCTTGTGTCTCATGAAAATATTTAGTATTTCTCTCTGTTGTGATACGCATTGTTTGAACAATACGACTTACCGATGTTTTTACCTTGACTAATCAACGATGCAAACGTTTTTGCATGTGGAAATAAATCACCAGGATCTAGATTCGAATGCTTGATCGTCGGAGCACTCTGGCATTGGTTGACAACAACATAGACGAAGAAAAGAAAGACAAACATAAAGACACTAGGAAAACTTCGTAGAGCCATTTAGTTAAATAGCTGTAGTTAGATTCCAAAATACACATATCATTTGTCTGAAAAGAAGCGAACAAGATAAATTTACAATCGGGTTACTTGAATATTTATGCAATAAACGAGAGTATTTATTTAAGATGAGTGAAGAGGATTGATTTTCACTGTCAGAAGATATTCGTTCGCAACAACGATCAATTTATGTGGAAATACGCACAGAATTATTTTCTCATAAACTGAAGAAGAAAAGTTTTCTCTGTAACTGTCTCGACAATAAGATGACCCCAAAAAAATTGGTTGTTCTTAGACACACGATAGCAATACGTCAAAAAAGAAAGAAAAAACAGATTGCTGTTCTGTCGAACTACATGTAATATATCTACTTCCATTCGCTCGGTCTTCTCTTATTTTGTTTTCTTCCTGTTCTTCACTAGTGCTACGTGACCGAGTAGAAAAAAAAACTTGAGTTGATAAAGAGTAATTTCTTTTGTACATGCATACTCGTTTGACAAACCCACATTTGCAAACTTTACCACATAGCGCATATACTTTGAAAGATTCAGCGTGAACGCAGCCCTATGTCATTTCATAATTGATTTCGAAAGACATTTGCATTGGTTAATATTTACATTAGAAAAAAAACAACAGAAAGTGTTTCTTTGTTTACTTTTTTACTAGAAAATGAAAACTTACTTTTATTATGTTTCATGCTAATAAGAGTGTGCACCGTCAGCAGCAATAACAACGATTGTCATCGTTTTACTATATTCAAATATTTACACATAGAACAACGAAAAGAGTAATTGCCGAATAATATTGATACTTTTATTGGAAGTTTTCGACATAGGTATACGTAATCATCCAACAGACAACATAATGGGTGCGCAAGACAAGATTTTTGTCATACATTTCTTTCTTTCTATTGATCATGTCATTGATAAAGAATGAATTGAGTTCTTTTCTTACGAAGACTCATTCAAAAAACACACCGTACTTATGAATAAAGGAGTCGTCAGACGAAAAAAATAGCATCATGAGTCATTGATGAGATTGAGTCATGGGGCGTAGCAAAAGATCGAACATCCCTAGAAAACAAGCTAAAGATGTCGTGAATGGCTGTGCCATCTTCTCTGCCTCTATTATTCGAGATAATTTTCAAATGTATGATAACAACACGTTTATTAGAAAAAAATAAATGAAAATGATTGACTTAAATCTTGTGAATGTGGGTGAAAGTGAAGTTTTTGTTTTCATCCACCCTCAGCGTCCACTGTCATCCGCATCCACTCTTGGGAATCAACGAGGAAACTGCCCACCCTTAGGAATGTGCGGTTTCAGTGTAAAAACTGAAAATACCGGCACTGACATCACCGAAGCATGGTGCACTGGGCTACACTACACTGATGTCACTGTCACTGGGACTAGACCGACACGGAAAACACTGATGCACTGTCGTTCATTGTAGCACCAACATCCACTGATCACTGGTCACATTGAAATCGGCGCTCAGTGCAACACTGACACAGCGACGTTGCTTTTCGTTGACTATTATTTCTATGTTTAATGCTTTGACATCTTTCGTTTGGAAGATATGAACTCACTAAAATTTTTGATTGGATGACAACATATTCGCTTAATGCTTTCTCTTTTTTCTTTCTCTTATATTACCTCGTATTTTCCTAAGTATTTTCTATCTTTCATTCTATTGTGTATCTTGACACCCATTCTTCTAACCATCTCTTGATTCATTATTCAAGTTCAATTTCCATGGGTGTCATGGAAGAATCGAATCGATGATCTTCAACACTGTCTTCTGTATCTTTTCGTTCGATATTTCATATTACGCAGTTAGATAAAAGAAAAGAAAGGAGGTCATTCACTTTCGGTTGTGCGTCGATTTTTTCGTTCGATAATCCTATAAAGCAGTCGGAAAAGAGAGAAGAAAGTACCTGATTCTTTTTTCATCTTGCTTCGTCAGATATAAATATTTTCCATTTTTAAATCGCAATTTTATTATCGGTGAAGTTATATATTCGTGTCAGTAGATAAGAGTCTCACGCATTCTATATAGTCCAACTAATCTATTTACGTTGAACGGTAAAATGCATTTTTAGAACAGACAACGATTCTAAACAACATGTGTGTTTATCGTAATAAAACATACTTATCTTTAGTGATAAAGACAACAGCCTTTGACAAGGTTTAATTGTCAACTTAATTCATTTTATATTAGCAAAGTCTCAATTTTTTTGTTAGATATTGATTTCATATTGTTTCATATAATATTTTCAAAATTCATTTGTTTATTTACTAGACAAAAAAATATTAAAAGCTGAAACGTATTGTAGGTATGCCTATCCAATATTTTTATATTATAAATTTCTCAACATTAGCTACATTTAGTATTACTTTTTCTATTTCACTTGTGCTGAACTACAGCATCCATCAAGTTTTTCAATTATGTTACTTTCGTTCACCACAATATACAAATAATATGGTTTCTGGATCAACTTGGAAAGTCGTTGAACATCGTACGAGCAATGATAAATCAAATAATGCTGTTAGTGATAAAGAAAATCGAAAAGGTTTATCATCAGGTATTACAATAACAGGAGAAAACAATTCAAATTTCAAGTTACTTGAAGTTCGTGAAGTTCACCATCAGCACAGCAATAAAATGAGTTCCAAAATAAGTAAAAAAGAAATTTGTTAAAATTTCATAAAACAATCATTTTTTTTACAATCAACAGCGAATACTTTATCTGATAAAAAGAATAATAAAACATTTTCACGCTCATCTGATGTTTGGCAATATGCAGTACGTGATACAGATGTGGGTATTGGTGAGGATTATGTCTTCTGCTCCTTAACACCCTCACTCTCTGACCCCAGGCTAATGAGCTGTGAGTATATCGATAGAAAATTTTTGAGAACTTTTTTCCTCCGCTTAATTTTGGTGAGATATGAATATCACAAAAAATCGCTGAAAATGTGCCTTTTTAGGCGATAGTGTTCTCAGAAATATTGAAACATCTCGACAACGGAACAATACTGTTTCGAAGGCTTTGTTTCAAAATTCTTAGAACTATTTCCTCTACAACATATATTAGAGTGAGCAAAATCTGATGACCTTGAATGAGTAGCTTCTTTGAATTGACTATTTTACACACCTAAATTGTGAATATTTTAAAATTTGAGTAATTCGATTCAGACTTGTTATCGCCAGCTCATATTTGTAACTATTAGTCTTCTCGTTGAGGACGGTAATTTGGCTCGAATATTGTTAATCAAATTAACATACTTGATAAAAAGTTCCATAGTAAGTTATGATGACTAGAAGAGATACGCAAAAAAAAGAAATCGATCGGAACCATACAAAGAGTTACCAATCGATATAGAATAAGTTCTTCTTCCACTTTTATGATTCAATTGTACTGACTGAGTAGTAAGGAATCAAGTTGAAGGAAATGAACAGGAACACAGGAACAGAATAAAAATAGATAACGTGTGGTCAGTTCGAAACGATATATACACTGTACCTTTCTACTATAAATCGTTCATCATTGGAAACACTGTATTCAATTGCGTTGGTACATTTTCTATTCAGCTTTCGAAAATTGTTTTTTTTTTGGTAGCAGTGCTCAAATATCGCGAGAGAGAAGTGGATTTTAAAATATTTCTGATCTTTTTTCTCAAGAGAAAAACATTTCTTGCAATGCCTCCTAAAGTTTTCAAGCAACTTTTTCTTCCACTTCTTAAGATGCAAAAATCATTTGATAGATGACAGGGACTCAACATTGATCGTTTTCTTCTTATGAAATATGATTGTTGAAGCGATAGCTTCCCAAGTGATATGGGATCATTGTGCAAATCTGTCCTGTTTTTTTGTTGTTTACATCTGTAAAGTCTTAACTCAACTTAAACCGAAGTTGAGACATTGTTATAAAGGAACTCGGCATGTATTTCGAGATTATATTCTGTCGATCATCTTTAGGCAACGATTCAAATCATATTCGAAATAAGTACCAAAATATGATTGAGACTACATGGATTCTACTGTTTGAATAATATCCATATCGTTTAAAGCTTATAGAAGTCATATAGTTAGAATCAGATTTTGACGCTAACATCGACGAAGATTTTAGTGTTTCTACAACAAATGAAATTTCATAACACTGCGTAGATGTGTTTAACATCAATCTCAATGTTTTAGTAGAAAACCTTCACGAAAATAGTTTAAGGCGCGTCAAAAGTGAGGAAAGGGAAATGCAATTTTGGGTCAGGTTGAGTTGGGGCAAAATTTTAAGAGCAGCAGTTATCGACTGTTGCTGGGCCCGTAAACAATGCGCAGAAAATGCTGTACGTCGTTACGATACCTGGGCTGCCCAGGCGACCCTACTTTTTCTTGCTGTGTTGTAAGGTAGAAAATAAATAAGAGAAACTGTCTTTATTTTTCTCGTTGCATCAATAAAAACATACCTGTACTTTTATCTTATTCTCGTCGATGAAGAATTTCGTCAGAAACGTACATCAGGGTTGCAGTGTTCCTATATTGTTTTACGACAGTATTTCTTTTTTGAAGCACGGTACCTACACTTTCTAAACATTATTCATTGAAAGACTACTGATATCGACTTGTGCAATGCATATATAGATTTGCATTGCTTTTAAAGCCCTATAGTCATTTGGGTCCCAAAAGGACGTGGAAGATATAACATTCGAAAAAAAACTAACAGCAAGCAGAAAAAGAAAAGAATGTTGGTATGAATTGTTCATTCTTTTCAACTGGCACTCACATCTACTGTTTTGGCTGGTTTTCGAGTTTGGTTGTTTTTAATAGATATGAGGCTAGTTAATGACAGTAAAAAACATGAGAACATTAAAAATGGTCACACTGAAACTATTACATATCAATATATTGTAATGTACGCCTAATTGTTCATTGAAATAAAAAAAAAAAAAATGACAACAAAGAAACATTTCTTCACTGCCTTCAACTTTAAAAATTCATCATCGATACAATAAATTTAAGAAAAAAACAATGAAAAATCTTTATCAACAAATCCCAGTGATTGGAATACATATAATTTTTTTTCTTTAAAATATTTTCTTTTGAATCAAGTTTATTGATATTTCTGACAATTACATTATGTATAATCGACTCTACTTGCTCAAATAAGCGACATTTATCTTCACTTGAAGATCGCTATGTATATTAATGATGAATGACATGCTATTCGTACGTTACCTGAAACAAAGATTTTATCCTCTCAACTTTAATTTACTCATTTATACTGTTGATTCATTCGATGATTGCATATTTCAATATGTGAAAGAAAATGAAAATATTTATACAACTAAATCTAAACTTGTATATCTTGTACGGAAAAAGAAATTGTCAAAACTAAAAAACTTTTCTTTTTTTGACTAAAATTAGAGTTCAAAAAAAAATTTCTCTTGGACATTCCTATACCAAGAAGAAATCGATCTTTATATTAGCAACATTTATTATCTGCTGCCATAAATTTTGTTGCAATTGGAAAAGATACATGTAAATTACGAAAAATATCATTTTTCTTTTCAAATTTAGTGATTTTGTGCATTATCTAGGGGATGTGTTCGAAAAGATTATAATGATCAAGTAACACATTTTATATCATATGGTAATATCAATGAAAAACATCTCGTAAGGAATTTTTATATTTGCTTATTAATTCTTTAGACAGTAGTATGTAACATGAAAAGAAGTGAAATTCTAACAGAAGAATGGCTTTTACGTTGTTGACATGAACAATATAATCATTAATTTAATTTATTGGATTATGAAATTATTCGAATATTTCATGCTAAATCATTACATAATCTTAATTTGTTCGTTTTCGGGTTTAATAATGATAATGAATTACAACGTTTGCATACGTTAACTGATGAACATGGTAATTTATTTATTCTTTTGTTTGCTGTATGAAGTACAAAATATTACGTCAACTGAACTATCATCTGCCGTCTGAACACATATTAGACTGAAAACGAAGTTTTAGTAATACTCAAGATATTCTAATCTGAATTAATGTCCGTACACTTTTGAAACCAGGTTATAACTATTTCAATGAATTTTCAGCCGAAATGTATGTTTGTTTATTGAGATATTCAATTTCCAACAAATCGTCGCTTATCACTAAAATTGATCTTACTTAGATATTGAATACATCTTGATAAATGAATAGTTTTTTTTTCTTCTAAAGCTTTCGGGATATTTCAAGGGCCATTGAATCTATCTATGTGCTGAATTTTAGGTCAAACATTCAGTCAAATGATCATAATTCGATGCTAGAGACGTTTTGTCGCAAATCCTTGTAAGATTTTTCTGTTCTTATTGAAACTTCCATGAAGGTCAAATGATGACTTACAGTGTAAGTAATTTCTTCGTAAACGAAATTTACAAAACATGATTAGCTTTGTTTTGTCAGTATTTAGATTTAGAGAGAACCTCTAAGGAGATTTAGTCCTAGGGTGTGAGTGTGGTTGTGATCCTTCTGTTTTTCAATAGAGACTGCGAAATCAACACCCATACCAATTAAGTATAAGTTCGAAGTCAATTGTTTGAAAACGTTAAAAGATTTTTAACTGTCAATGAAAACAATATTATGCTTTTTAAATTTATAAAAATGCTAGAGAAAACTTCCAGAAGTGTCGACGAACGGACTACAAGAAACCTTATTCTAATCGTGACTGATGTTCTGCGTAGTGTATTCGATGGTAAGACTTTTCCTATCATGAACAACTCGTTTCGAATAGCAATATAATTGTGTATCACTTTTTAATTTTTGTTAAAACTAACGACGAAAGGTGAAGATGAGCAAGAAGAAAATATTATAGTCTCGAAAATAATTGAATAGTGAATTGAAAAAGAAAACAAATAGGACATTTACAAAACCTTTCAGATTTTCTCAATAAAACCAATGTTTTAGGTTAGATTGCGAATTTTCCGTATTTTTCTTGAAAACTATTGTGGGGACGGAAATGAGATAGAGAAACAGGAAATGATTGTTTGGGTGTAAATATCATTTTACGGCAGGATAATGTGAGTTTGTTAGCTCTTGCTTAATACTGATCAACAAAATTTTAACCCTTCTGCTGTGAAACTCATATATGTATTTTTGAACTTTAATTATTTTACCAAAATGTATATTTACAGTTATATACAGAAATCTATAGAACCTCGTAATGGAGTACTGAACGAAGCCTGAAATATATAGGTGACAGTTTATGTTTTATACTTACTCAAGTATCTAGCTGTATTGTACATTTTCTTGATTGACTAGATTTCCTACGGAGTCAACTGAGGAAAAGATTAGTAGTATTAAGAGTTACTTGTCTAGTCTTACAGAATTTTTACTGACATTAACGATCGTCGTAAATAGCTTGACATAGAAATCATCTTCTTATATACACACTAACACTTACTCCTATATCCACACCCTCAAGTAAGTGATCACCATTGAATTATGCAAAAGGGAATATCGATATTGACTGTGTCGCATTATTATATCTTATAGTCAGACAATAGACTTTGCAACAATATTTGTGTAACACAGCAGAAAAATTCGTCAGTAATATTTAAAAATAGACATCATTAATTAAACCAAAGAAATATATAAAATACCACATTACCCTTGAACCAATATGCACATAGGAAATCATTTTGAGTGAACCTTGTATTATAGTCTAATGAAATAAGCAAACACAAGTTTAAAATAATGTTATTCTTTATTCAAAACTTAAGATTCAAATGAGCAACGTTTCGAAAAAATGGTTTCATAAGCTTTATTTAAAAGATTTTGTATCTCTGCAGTCAATGATGGTAAGTCGTCATTTATACATATAAAATAGGCGAGTTGATCGCTAAATGTATTTTGCAATTTTCTTCGAATTATTTGAAGATTAGGACTGTCTAACATCACAAATCTCAGCATTTTTCGTGCTTTCAAAAAGGTGTAATAATTAGAATAACCGACGTAGATATAGAGTGTTTGTATTGAAGGATCTGCAGGCATTCTAAATGGATGAGATATTAGCGAGTTCATTTCTACTCGAAATTCATTCCATATTTTAATACCAATCTCTCTGTAAAGCAGTAATGGACCATGGGAAGCAATAAAATACCGACCTTTGCTTTTAAGTAAATCAGCTGATCGTTTTTTCAGTCCCATGTTGATAGCGGTGTGTATATTGCCATCATACAGTGTATGTGGCTGAATACGAATATTAAACGTATCACCACCCAAATAGACTATACTTTTGTTTGCATCAATTATTGTGGTAACAGGTAAACGTTTTCTGATTACAATATCATCGTCGAATAGGTAAAATGGAGATGATAGAGTGGGAATATTATGTATCATGGATTGGATTGCTATTGAATTGAATAGGGGATATTTTGGAGGCATTATGTTGGTGTAATTAAATAGTTGCTGATGATTTACAACTCTTATCCTCGGATGATTTGCATTTAAGTAATCTGGAATCTGATTATTTGTCACCAGAAATATCCTTCTGGCCCATTCTTTGCCATTTTCTTCAATAGATCTAAGCAAATATTTCAACTGCTTCAAATCGCGAAATCGGTTCGGAGAAATGTAGTTCGGCGAATGAAGTTCAACTTTTCTCATGGATTGCATATTTGACCTAAACAAGTGTTTCGATTGTTTCGAACTGCTAAATCGGTTCAGGAAAATAGACTTATGCGAATAAGATCCAACCGTGCTTGTGGATTCCAAAGATAACCTAAACAGCTTGTTCAAGTTTTCGTCATCGCTGTTGACCCATAACACTACAATATCAATAGCCGCTGAACACGAGTGAATTTGACATGCTCTTTCTATTAATCCACACTTATGATCTTCTAGTTCGTGGTAGTTATGAATATTCACCCCTTCTGAGTAGCTGTCACAAAGGCTTTGATATTGCAAGCCACTATTCTCATTTGAATAGTTGCTAAATTGAGTCGAATTATTGCATACAAACTTAACTCCAGGCTTCGCAAATGTTCTTCTGTGGATAGAAATCAGGAATGTTTTACACAGAATAAACTATATCATCAGAACTACATTAAATAAGATTATGCGTTTTAAATGCATCCAATATAAGAGCCAAATTGTACGTATATATAACGTTCAGAATTATTATGTACGAATAATTTGTTCAAATTGCTTCAGTCAATTAGACTGAGTGTGAACTCATCAGTTTCTATTGAATCTACTCTTTCTGCAGGACCATTTAAATGATGTACCAAGTATCAAAATTTGTTCGATAAACGTTATCACTTCATTCCAGTGATTTTACCAATTCCAACTAGTTCTTCAAATAGAAATAGAAATGTAAATACAGAATGTTCCAAAAGTCTCTTCCACTTTTTTTTTCAAATGATAGGAGGATACGTCGAGTTTTTATTTACATGACGAAAGTTCAGAAGTGCTATTCAAAATCTAAGACCTTTAACTGAAACACAAAAGCTTAGCCTGTTTTCTATATCCAGAAAAACATTACGCAGCATTGCTTTTTTAATTACTTTAGGCTTTTGAATAATTCAAGATCTTTAAATTCTCTAATTCTTGAACAGTCTTTCCCTTGAATTCCATTTTGGGATGCCTTCAGAAAAACAAACTGAATCATATCAAGTCAAAACTCAAGCAATTGAAACAGATCTCATCCATCAGCTTTTCTGGAAATAGAAAACAGGCTAAAGTTTTGTATTTCAGTTGAAGGTCTTAGCTTTGAGCAATGCTTCTAAACTTGGTTTGTGTGAATAAAAATTGATTGTAACCATTTATCATAAGAAATTAGTTGAGCAAGTTGAATTAAATAGCAAGCATATACGATAAATTATAGTGAAAGGGACTTTTAGGACATCCTGTATAATTAATTAGATGTGGTCCGATAAAAAAAATTGTTCTCTTCGTTACTAAGCTGTACCTACAAGTATATTACTACAGTACTAAAAGCGCTAGAACAGAGCGTTGTAGGACAAATTGTTACAGCATTTCATTATGCTAGATATTTTCTATAAACCAAGCCCACTGCTTAAAGTATAATCTAAGAGTGTGAAATTGAGAGTGTATGTGCAGGTTTCGAGCTTAGACGGCAGATGCATGGTTTAGGATTTGGAGTATGGGTGTAAAATTTGAGTCTTATTGCAGATTTAGGCGTAGCGCACAGTGGAGGAATCCCGTGTGTGTTAAGTTGATTATAACTGTCTACAATACACAACTCTCTTAAGTACCGACACCTACCTCACATTCACAGATAAACACACAAATCCATTCACGCGTATCCGCATGCCACACTCGCCCGCCATACCCACATTTTGCACCCTACATCCACATCCTTACATAATACTTTATGAAGTCGACTTGATTTATAGGAATATCTAGCATAATGAAATGTTGCAACATTTTGTCCCTGCGACGTTTTGTCTGCGACGATCTGCTCGGTCACCGTTTGAATGCGTTTTGTTTTCACTAAAAATGCAAACAAGTTGTTCGATAACGCATTTTCACGATGTGTTTCAATAGTATATAGCGTATTTTTGTTTTGTACAAATATGCTTCTGTCAGTTTATCTTACTCTTAGTGCTCTAGCCTTCTAAGGCTATTGGTGTAAGGGTCAATGTATATACATACACTTGTCTCCCAATATCCTTACATCTATAACCTTATTCCTATGTCTTTGCCTCGACACTCTTATACCTATACCCGTATCCTTATGTAAAAGAATTGTTTAATTAATAAGCAGAAAAACACAAATATTCTTGTAAAAGAAATTATGCGACAAAAATACTGTGTATATCTTTGTTGATGCATGTTCGACTCAACTTCATTATGATATGATAAATTCATCAATGGTATGTATGCTCTTCGCCGAAAAACACTTCGTCGAAAGACTTGCGAGATGCTTTAGACTACTGCAAGCACTTTAATTCTTATACAGGTTTGCTAAGCAAGAAGAGTTCAACTCATTTTGCCATCACCCTCACTTTTGAAGCGCCCTCCATGATGAAAAAATACTTTTGACGAAGTGTTTTTCGGCGAAGAGCATACATACCATTGATGAATTTATCATATCATAATGAAGTTGAGTCGAACATGCATCAACAAAGATATACACAGTATTTT